GAGAAAATTCTATAAGAACATTCTGAAAAAATCGAATTTAAAAAAAAAATTTCCTTCATAATTTTGAAAAATTTTTCATATATATTTTTACTTCTTAAATTCAGCAGACTAGCGCAAAAATAATCAGAATACGGAGTTAGGATTAAAAAAAATTATTTCCCTAAAGTTCTGAACGTTCAAATGAACGAAATCAATTTTTTTGGTTTATATATATTTTTTAAAAATTACTACAGCAATGAAAAATAAAAAAAAGTATCTACATTAAATACTTAATAAATTATTATGAGCCAAAAGTTTTGAACATTCATATGCACTGAGAAAAATGTTTAGTGAGAGCAACCAAAATTTGAATGGGCCAACAAAAAAATTTTGTTGGTATTTAAGCAACCAAACTATTTGTTTGAGTCAACCAAAAAATTTGGTTGAGTGTTTTTTGTTGGTATAACAAAAATGTTTGGTTGATCAAACAAACAGTTTTTTTTGTAAAATTAAAAATTTTATTCTACCTCATTTCTTTCCTTTTTATCTTTTTTATTTATTTCATTATTTATTTATTATCAATTTAACATTGAATTTATATTTATCCAATTGAATTGGATGAAGATCGGGAGCTCTGACCACTGTACTATCAATCCTCGTGAGAGATTTAAACTGATCTCTTAAGCTATGAGCTGAGAGCGAATCAAATTATTTGGTTGTCGCAACCAAATTTTGGTTAGGACAACAAACCAACCATCATTTGGTTTTTTAGACCAAACTATTTTGTTGTGTTAACCAAATTATTTTGTTGTCGTATTATTAATTTAATAATTGTTTAATTTACTGTTTTATTTTACATGGTCATCATAATTTTTAATAATTTATAGATTTAAAAAAATATTTCGTTCATATGAACGTTCAAAACTTTTGTCTCATAAATTATTAATTTATTTTTGTATACAGAAAGCAATATTTTATAAAAATTTGAAGTTTAAAAAGTATAGTACCTAAACAAATTTTTCGTTCATTTGAACGTACAAAACTTTAGGCACATAAAAAATTAACAAAAGCCTGTCTTAAAATTGTTCTCTCTAAATTTGAATCAGCGACTATTCGCTTATTCGTAGCTGCATACTCTGGGCTGATTAAAATAGCGACTATTCGCTAGCAATCAGCGATTATTCGCTAATAATAAGCTAATTTTCAATGAGTGATTATTCACTTATTCCCAGCTACATACTCTGCGCTAGGAATAAGCGAATAGTCACTAATTCAAAGCGAATAGTCGCTAATTCAGATTTAGAGAGTTGCAAATTAAAGTAAGATTTCTTTCTTAAAGTAAGATTTCTAAAAAAAAATTCGTACTTAAGGAAGTTGCAAAAAAAATTTCGTTTATTTAAATGTTCAAAACTTTTGGCTTATTCCTTTTCTCCATTAAAATACAATTTTCTGTTTACACTGTGTTTTTGACTTTGGATTTTCATTACTATATATATCTATAATAGAACTTTCACAACCTCGAGATTTACTCTCTTTCTGTTATCATATTTCCCGTACCACTTTCAAATCTTGATTAAAGTAGGTTGTGATATCTACAGTGTCGATATGCACTATTGATACTGATATCATCTTCCAACAATTCTTGATAACGTGTGTGGAAAAAGTATTTGGCGTATGTATATATACTCTTATCGGACAACTGCATTTTGACCCCCCATCGTTATACACATATATTTTCATCTCACAAGTAAATTAGGGCATTTTTACTATTATAATATATCAAAAGAAACACTGATTGAATAGATCTAAATTGAGAAAATTCTAGATAATTTTTTATTTATTTTAATTGCATTGGATTTCATTTTATAATTAAAAAAAAAGATACATGATCGTATTGTATATTTAAAATTTTATTTACTTATTTAAGTAATTTTGAATAATTAGATACATTAATTTTTGTGACCATCAGAGTTTGGAATATAAATCATTTTTTTCCTTATAGTTTTTGGTAAGAATTTCATTTTGCTTTCCGGTATATGTAGTTTGGAATAATTTCCTTTGTCTTCTGATATAGTTTGGAATAATTTAATATAACTTTACGCGAAAATAATGGTTTTCATTTTACAAAATTTCTATTAGAATATCTGAATTTGTAACGTCGCGACATCATCCCTCGTTATTTTCAGATGCGCCGGCAAAGCCACTGTATATTACAACCCTGCGCGTTCAGTCTTCCCCGTGAAAGCAATCCGAAAACGTCTTCTCTCGCGACTTTCTTCACATTTAATAAAAAGAGAAGAAATAAATAAATAAGTGCGAAAAATTATCAACAGTGCAAAACATTCACATTTTATTGTTTTTAACAATTTAGTTGAGCTTTCAATTTTTAAAATGAAATCAATACTTAATAATTATCTGATACTATATTTTATATTATTTTTTTAATAAAAGAGATTATTTTTCTGTTTTCAAAATGAAAACAAATTTTTTAACTTTTAATGCAAAATTACACTAAATTATATATTAAATTCTTGTGCAGGACAAGTTTTCCATAAAGCAGTTTCATATTTTGACAAAAGACTGCGCATTTAAAACATGCTACCATTCGAGTTAATGGAATGTTAGCAATAATTTCGCAGTTGAACAGCATTGTTGTCTCTCGTCCAATAACCATAAAATATACACTTGGCAGCTAACGGACATTATTCATTTTATAAATTCTAAAATAGGATTGCCCAAAAATAGAAATCCCTTTCTTATTCTTTATAACTGGTCCATTATTTGTTTTTTACGTTCACTTTTTTTTTGAAACACTTTCTCACGGTGATTTAATTTTAAAATTAAAAACTTATTGTCACGCGGATGAAGAGAAATTTAAGAAAATCAGGAGTAAAGAAATTTATAATATACAAAATTAAGAGTGAAGAAAATTTATAGAAAGAGAAATGAAACAATGAAAGTTGAATTATTTTGTAAGATTTGGAAATATCAACTACTGAAATTGTTATTATATCATCATGGCGTACATGAGGGTACAGAATAATTGCAATCTTATGTGCTTTGCATCTCTGTAAGCGCAGTAGAAATGTCTCTTTTTTTCTTCTCATGCTTCCTGGATTCTGGTGACTTGGGCTTCTCATGATCGCATCTCTCTTTACCTTTTGTAAAAGGAAATAACAAGAACAAGAAGAAGTATATATACCCGCCATCCAATAACGTGCTGCCTCTCGGCGACATGTGCTCGCCACTAAGCGTATATACTACTATTTATAATACTCTGAATCACGCATGCACTGGTCACGAACTTTGATTCTGCACGATTTCACGTGGTTTCCACCACTAAACTCTTTTTTTCTTCCCCAAAAAACCTTCCAGGAAACAGGATTCAGAGTCTTTGAGAAAATGAGAGATGAATCCTAAAATTATTATTATTCTTGATAATATGTATATATATATATTTGTTGCAAATATCATCTATATATGTTCAGTGTTTAGAAAGCTGCGAAGAGCTAATTATATAAAGAGTAAACAGAAAGGAAAGGAAGTATAACGAACCGAAAGACAAGTGTATAAAAAAGGAGAAAAAAAAACGTCGACTGGAAGGAAATAAGAGAAACAAGAAAGAGGACCAAAATATGACAGACGAGATCTGATCTTGGAAGATGTTGGCGTTCTAAAACATTGTATATGCCGTCATTCTAAATATTATTCTACATAATGAATTATGTGGAAAGAGTTATTCATTTGGATATCACAATAATTAGTCCCAAATATCCACTAAAATTTTTGAGCCTAACGGATTAAACATCAATAAAACTACTTATTGTGTTTGTTATACACTATATGATGCAATCAAAAGAGAGATTTTTCAACTAAAAAAATTTACTCCTTACAATAGATACAATTCTATCAAAATTTAATATCTTCATAATTAAAAATTTTTGTTTCATTTTAAATTTACACAATCAATGAATTACAATTTCAACACGAATATACGACCCCTTTGGGATGAAAACGATACTGGAAAATTCAAGAAAATTAAGATCATCTTCTTTGGCGATAGATAATTACCAAATATTTGGTGCGATAAAAGAGATTGTTGAATTTAAAAGTGTTAAAATTTGGTTTAATTATGTATGGAGATTCGGAAAGATGTTTTTACGATGGAGGAGCGAATTGCGAACAAAATGGACCGTTACCAGCTCAACTGGGTTATTTTTTCCCCGTAAATGGCCTGTATTGCATTGCAATTCCATCTTCACATCATCGACCAGAAGCTGCTGCTTCACACTCTCCTCGTTTGTCGCGTCAAACCCTTTGGTGAGTCTCTTCCATTCTTATATATAGTCGCGTCACCCTCTATGTCCTTATAATGGTCCTTTGCCGTTTGCATTTTAATCACACACATTCTACCCTTTGTTTTTCACATTCTCTATACCTTCTCCCAAGGTTCTCGTAATTCTCACTCCCCAGAAACTTCTTAAGAATAATAACCAAATGCACTGGTGGTATACAACATATAGATGTATGTAATTTGTTTTTCAAATTTTTTACACTTGTTTTTGTTATAAAATTTCTTATGAATTTTTGAAAATAAAATAGAAAAAGTAAAAAGGCATTTTCTAGGCGTATAAATTATTTTTCTTTAAAATATTTTCTTTCGCATGCATGCTAATTGTAAAGCCTTACAGAGAAACAAGTGAGAGGAGTCTACTAAGTAGATCATTTCTAGTTAATTTAATTATGTGTCACGTCAGGCAAAGATGTAATATCGAAAGACTTGATATTGATAAAAGAAAGTCCCGCTTTCTGTGTAAATATATATATATATATATATATATTATATTGGAGAGATGCAGTTATAAGAACACGGTAGAAATTTGTCATTGAACCCGTTATATGCGCTGTTTACCAACTCAGTGTTACATATTTCATTAAAATGATAAGGCAAATATTCAACAAGTTAGATTTATAAACATTCGCGATCTCTCGAGATTTAAATCGAAAAATTTCCATGATATCGTAAAATATATTTATTCACGTCTTTTAAATATTACTATACAAGTTGAGCATTATACAACTTAAATTAATTTACAAATATATAATCGAAAGCAAAACAATAATATAATGAATAAAATAATTATACAACACTCTACATATATACGAGTATTACGTTTTCTCTATTAGGAAAATAAAAAATAACTTATATAAATCATTTCCAATTTTTTTGTCTAATTTTATATTCTCATTGTATGAGAAGATTTCTTTTAATTTATTTATAATAGATCTAATTTATAAATAATATCTTAACATGCAGTCAAATCTAGAACCAAAATCTCATATTATAGAAAGTTGAGACATAAAATTTTTTTATATAAAGAAAAAAAAAATAGATTCTTTTTACGAACTTGAAGATTGCAATCCAAACGTAAACAATCATAATTCGGCTGTCAAGAAATCTTTTCTTGACTTTTCAATTTTTTTTCCCTATACTTTGTTAAAATTTTTTTTGAAAACTAAAAAAGATACAGTTAAATTTGTCAAATTTCCTTTTGAAAATTTCACTATTTTTCTGATGAGATTTTATATAATTACATTTAACATTACTGAAATTTTCATTGTTGTTCTTCATCATTTTTTTATCTGTTAAAGAACGCGTCGCATTAACGTTATCAATATTGTCTTCTGATTATTTCAATTGACCTATGAATATATTCTCTCATGGTACACAGCCATTTTTATCTCTTTTGATAACCAAAATCCAATCTTAATTATACAATTCTCATTATTATCGGGAATAGAATCAGTGAGATCTCACAGGTGAAGTGGGTCAGCGAATATTTTCACTGATTTTACTAGTAAAATATTCTTTAATTGACAGTGATATTATTTTCCCTATAACATTGTACAATAACCGTGAATTTTCACTGATTCTGTTAAAGTGACTAAAATCAAATCTTGATTATGACTGTTATTCTCTCTCTAAAAAAAAATACTTAAATCATTCTACACTTTGATTTGATATTTTCTCTTATTACTAAAAATTGAATTGTTCAACAAGAACTACTGGATATTTGTTTTGTCTTTTGAGAATCATCACAATCAGAATCACTAATTGTTTCATCGATATTTTTCCCAGACAATTTCACTTGTATTTCGTGTAATGTTTTTCCTTTTGTTTCGGGTACAAAAAAAATTGCAAACACAGTTGCCAAAGCGCATTGACTACAGAAAAACCAAAAAGTGTTCGATTGACCAATCAAAAGAGCAAGTGTGTGAAAAAATTTAGTGACAAGAAAAACAAGAAACCAGTTAATCACAAATGATATACTGCTCGCAATTGCTCTTGATTTTTGTGGAAATAATTCTCCAACCATAGCGTAGGGAACCGAACCATATCCCACAGAAAATACAAAATTGAATGAACCAAGACAAAGTAGTGGCAACCATCCAATGGACGATAAATCAACTCCATCCTCCTTCAACTTAAAGTAGTAACTTAAAATTCCAATCCAAACTGTCATTGCAAAGCCGGATACAATCAATAGAGGTTTTCTTCCGAACCTGTTGAAAATGTTCTAAATTATTATTATCATCATCGAAATTATAAATGAACTTGCAAATTCAAAGTACTTCAATTGACGTACCTATCAATCGTGATACCAACGACTATGGCCATGATGACTTCAATCAAACCAATGATAATTGTTGCCAAATATGGATCAATGGTACTTCCAGCGTCGGTGAAAATGGTGACAGTATAAAAAAGAACAGCATCAATACCACACATTTGTTGAAACCACATAAGTCCCAAACACGAACGTAAAGCCCTTCTACCAGCAACAGTGCCAATTAAATCACGAATTCCACCCTTTCTATTTTTTGCCTCTTCCACATCTTCAAGAAGTATCGCAACTTCCTGATTGACATCATATTTTGCACCTCGCAAAATTTTTAAAACTGCTATTGCCTCCAATTTTCTACCTTGTCCCAATAACCACATTGGCGCTTCTGGCATTAATGAAATACAAGCCAAAAATGGCACCAAACTTAAACAACATGCAATGTTAAATGTTCGATATTCAAGATATGCACCAGCTGTATAAGAGAAAACAATTCCCAATGAGAAAAAGAATGGAAAAAATGTTCCCATTGCACCTCGTAATGATGGTTCGGCTATTTCGCCAATATAAACTGGAACAAGAACACCCGCTGCACCAGATCCAATTCCACCCATTAGTCTTCCAATATAGAGCCAAGGTAGTGATCTACCGAAAATCAACATTATCCAAGAAATTAAACATGGTGTTGTTGTTATTCCAATTGCCAATCGTCTTCCATATAAATTAGCTAAAGTACCAGCGGGAATTGATCCTATCATTGCTCCAAGAGGCATTAGTGATGAGATCCAAGAGCATTCGCTATCTGTCATGTTAACGAGGAATGAATCCGATGAATTTAAATATCCTATGGTTGGAGATGACCAGGCCAAGGCCATGCCACTTTGGCTCACCGTCAAACCAGCTGAAAAATTTTGGTTTTTCATTTTTAAAATATTTTTCTTACAAAAGAATAATACCTTCATGTTAGGTTAGTAGTGCTATACGAAAGTTAAACTAATTTTCTAAATGTCGTTTACTAAAGAATCCACAAATTTAAAGTTGCTGCTAAACTACTGTACATCAGGTTTTGTTTCTTAAAATTCTATACAAAAAGATCCAAAATAAATAGTGGAATGGATTTTAAGTTTTTAAACCTCTAATGTTAAGAAGTTATTAAAATTCAAAAAGAGTAGGTATGCTTACATTTTAAAAATAAACTTTCCAAGTTTTTGTATTTTTTAACATTTATTAGTCTCTTTCTTCTTTTAAATTTTTACTTCTTTGGATCTTTTCCGTCGTTAAAAAAATCAAACTTTAAAAATTCAAATTCTCTTTTTGTATTATTAATTACACAGGCACACAAAAAAGAAAAAGCTGTTTGGCCGAGACACTAAACTAGTCTATTTCCATGTATTTTTTCACGCTGAATCCGAATCCGAAGTCAGAATTATCAGATTGGCTTTTATTTTTGAGATAAACTCAAAAAACTGCGCTCAGAAAGAAAAATAAAATCAAAAAGTTAAAAAATTTTTGAATGTCACTGCGATAATGTAATTCCATGTATTTTTTGTCACTGAATCCGAATCCAAAGTCAGAATTGTTAGATTCGATTCGCTCAAATTTTTGAGATAATTGCAAAAAAAAACGCAAGTAACAAAAAACTCAAAATACTCAAAATCAGTTTTTTGGAATTATCTTCAAAATTTGAGCCAATCTGTCAATTCTGACTTCTAATTCGGATTCAGCGTGAAAAAATACATGAAAATGCACTATCGTAGTGTTTCGGCAAAAAAAAAAAATTTCTTTGAGCTAAAATCGCCAAAAACTGATAAAAATTCTGAATTAGGGGCACAGATAATTTTTTTTGTCGAAACACTACAATAGTGCATTTTCATGTATTTTTTCACGCTGAATCCGAATTAGAAGTCAGAATCTAACAATTCTGACTTTGGATTCGGATTCAGCGTCGTTCTGAGCAGTTTTTTGAGTTTATCTCAAAAATAAAAGCCAATCTGATAATTATGACTTCGGATTCGGATTCAGCGTGAAAAAATACATGGTAATAGACTAGTGTAGTGTCTCGGTCAAACCACATTTTACTTTTTGTGTGCCTGTGTTATTCTAATGATTTGTCAAAAAACAAATTTATTTTCTATAAAAATTGTGTTTCTAATTTTTAAAGATTTGTAATGTCTTTCAATAGTGGGTACAATCCGATTTTTCAAAATATTCTCAAAATCAAAACTTCCATAGAAGAATTCAATTTCTATATATATAAGAATATAAATGTTCTTTATAAAAATATATAAATCTTACCAATAATGTTCGTTTGTTTTAACTGGTTTTTTCTCGTGAAAGATACTATAAATATGCTTTCCTCTCTATTATTTGAAATAAACATAAAAGATAATAAAATTGATTTCGAAATCTTTCCAATTCTTGGCAATAATGTCTTGTCAATGACTTTATCGTACAAGAACCACTTTAATCATTTTTTTTTTTTTTTGTTTGTTTTAGAATATGTAATTTTTCAATACACCTGTATTTAAAAAAGAAATCTTGTACTTACCAACTAGAGTTGCAAGAAATTGAAACAACTTTTTGCCCTCTTGTCTAGGTTGAGACGATGTATTTGTTTTTGTCACTCCACCGTATTCAACAATAATTGTATTTTTTTCAAGAACTGGTGAAATTATTGATTTTGTAAGATGACTCAATTCCGTGGGTTCTTCCACAGAAGTGACAGCATCCGTTATTAATTTGCCGTTTAACATTCTGGCAGATTCTTCTGTCATTTTGAAAATTGAGAGGTTATTTAATAAATTTGATTGATGCTATAGTTCATGCTTCTTTGAACTTTTAAATTAATAAACGTATTAACTGAATTTTTAACAATTTAATTGCAATAAAACAATCTAAGCATCTGTCTCCATAAATTCTTTGTTATTGAAAATTCGAATTCTTTTTTTTTTTTGTTTTTTTAATAATGGAAATGCTTTCTGACTGTCACTGTCAGTTCTGAAGTGAAAAATACAGCCAACACTACTGTCGTTTTGATCTTTAAAAATGAAGATCGGCCTTGAATCTCTTTAATCACATCGGTTACTTTGAATGGCAATGAATCATTACGAAAAGATCAATTGGTACTTGAATCAGCCTGGGATTCTATTCTCAAAGACCCTCTGTCTCTGTCTTTCTCTCTCTCGTCACACACATCAGAGTCTTCGTATACGAAGGATTGATTATACTTTACATCCGGGGGAAATAAATAGAAAAAAACAATTTTTTTAACTGGTTCACTCCTTAAAAAAAGGCGTTCGCCTTCCTATGATATCTCACACTGACTGCGCGAAATTAATCTCGGGACTGAAAAAAAAAATGATAAAGTTGCCTTATTCTTCCCTGACAGAGTTCCCATCTAATCTCGTTTATTTATTTAGAGTTTTATTTTTACGCTTATTTTAATTTCGACATTTTTCCTTTAGTATATACATATATATATATACAGGGTGTTCCAAAAGTATGGAAACTTGCAAATATCTCGAAAAGTACGCATTTTCGTGATACTTCTTTTTTTACTGTTGGGTCTATGGACAAATTTTTTGGCATCAAAAATGTTTTTTTTGGGAACAACTTTTGTTTTGAATATTTTTCACGAAAATGCGTACTTTTCGAGATATTTACAAGTTTCCATACCTTTGAAACACCCTGTATAGTTATACAGCTTATAAAGATTATTATATATGACTTTCAGGAAAAAAAAATTGAAAATTTCAATAATATTGAAGGATTTTTATTTATTTTCAATTCTTGTACATATAATATATATTTGTTTTATATATACCTTAAAGATAGGTGTGAAGTGCAGTCTTTTAATTGAATATAGTGTACTTTGTTAATAGGTGAGGTTTGATAGCAGATTTTATTGTCTGATAATAATGAATACAAAAATGTAGATTGACGTCAGATTCGAGATTCAACCTAACATTGTCAGTTGTTACCGGTATATTCGGAATGTACTTTCAACACGTAAATCACGTAAATATTTACTTGGTTAATTAATGCATTTCATGTAGAATAATCAATAAATTAGTAAATTTTAATTAATATTAATTGTTTTTGATTAGTTATAAATTTTTAAGATATTGTTTTGTATTGATTACAATTAATAAATTTAAAATTAGGTTTTCATTTTTTTTATATTAGAGCGACTCCACGTCAAGTGATCGCACCGATTTTTGGTATTTTGGTAAATTTTTATGAAATTGATAATTTGAATTCCTTTAAGGGTTAAAATAAGAAATCCCAAATATTTTTGAAAAATTCAAAATATTTTTCAAAATATTGCAAATTTAATTTTTTTGTAATTTTTTTTTTTTTGATTTATTATAACTTTCATAATTTGTTTAACCAATCGGTAACTAAATAATTTTTGTCACGAAAACTATGAGATATACCATCTTTTTCATGGTCTTGAAATTTTTCAGTATATTGTAGAGAATGTTCATAAATTTTTATAAAGAAATTGAAGATATTTTTTTAATAACAATTAAAATTTTACATTTTTTTGTGAAAATACGAGAAATTGAAAAAAATTATCTTGATTGGTTAAAAATTACGAAAAAATATTTTGAATTTTTGAAAAATACTTGGTATTTCTTATTTTAACCCTTAAAGGAACCGAAATTATCAATTTCATAAAAATTTATCAAAATAACAAAAATTGATGAGATCACTTGACATGGAGTCGCTCATCTATTTGCAATATTTATAAAAAAAATGTAAACTTAAGTAACAAGTTTTATAAGTTTATATAAACTTAATTGAGTTTTAATAAAATTTAGAATTGCAATTATTTTATTAAAATTTGGAAAACTTCAAGAAGTTAAAAAATTTTTACTGATCTAGACAATTTTTTCCAATAATAGAGTTTTTAATTTTCTCAAGTAAAACTTTTATAATGTTTAAAGTAAAAATTTTATTTTTTAAAAAAATTATGTAAAATTTTGTACAAAAGGGCATTTTTAGTTTATTAATAAATAAAGGTATAAATTATCTGAGTGGAGAAAAAAAATGCAATAAGTGAATTTGAAATATAATCTTAAAAAATATTGATACTGTAATAACGAAGGAGGGTCGATAAGGTCTGTTTTGACCCACCTTGAAATTTTTGAGCAAATGATTGAAATTTATTTTCCGGCAAAGAAAAATGATATTTTTAATGATTACAGGTGAAATGAGAGTGTTTTTGACATATTAACCCCTTAATACTAAAAGAATTTTTTTTTCAAAAAACGGACAAAATTTTCAATTTAAAAATTTTGTTTGTTCCTCATTTTTGTCCGTTTTTGAAAAAAAAACCCTTAGTACTAAGGGGTTAATATGTCCAAAACACCCTCATTTCTCCTGTAATTATCAAAAATATCATTTTTCTTTGACGGAAAATAAATTTTAAATAAAGCGAAAAAGATACTATTTAACAGTGGATGAAATTAAAATTATATATATACGTCTTTAAAGAGACAACGTAAATATATATAATGCGAAACATTGCGTGTTTTGGGAAGAACTGATATCGTGACAAGACTCATTGATAAAAATCTTTTTCTTCATTTACAAAGATATTTATTTCTACTATATTTCGGAAGATATGATAAGACTTATGTTTGAAGGCGGTTATATATATATATCCTAAGGATCACATACTTTATAATAGAAAGAAAACATTTTTTATCCTTATCTTCGTTTTTTTCCGTTAATGATCCTCTTATCACAGATATGCGAACATATATATATATATTTTTTGCATGACGAGCATTTCCCATGCGGAAATAATTTCATGTTTTTGTAAAAATAATTTTTTTCTAAAATATATTATACTAAAAAATATATATTTTCATTTCAAATTTGAATTTTCTATTTTTTTATAAGAAATGTTGTATTTGAAATTAAAACATTACTTTTACAAAATAGAATTTTTTTTTTTCATAAATAATTTGATAAACTTAGTACTAAAATAGTACCGATTTTAGGTATCAAAATAGATCCAAATGACAATTTAGTACCTAAAGTCGATATTAAATTAATACTTTTCGTTTTACAGTGTTAAAATACATAAATTATAAATAATGTTTAATAAATTAGTTTTATTTAAATAAACTTTCATTTTTTCTGCAGTAATTGATTTAAAATGTAAATTTTTGTTAAATGAATAATTTTTCTTTAAATCACGAACTTTTGGATTTAAATATATATTGTCGACTACTTTCTCTTGTCTATTAAATGATTTTCCCAGGTCAATCAGAGAGAATATTGCTTTAGGGTATTGTAAGAAGTATTTTTTTTTTAAATAAAAATAATTGATGGATATACAAATCATTATGGTGACAGAGCGAATTTTTTAAATGAAAATTGAAAATGATGATATAACTGTGTAAATAATAAATAAAAGAGATATTGACATAATTAGAACGTATAAAGAAACTTATAGTTGTATATATATATAATATATAGGCAAACCTTTTCTTATATATAATGTGAATTATTTACTTTACAGTCCGGACGTGGAAACGAGACGTTGCAGCGATTCTAGTGAATTTCAAGAATCTTCAGGTACAGGAGGAATTTCTGCTTCTCAAATTACAGTTCCAGCTCCAATATCAGTTCCACCTGTAAATCACCATCGGGAATCCTACTTTCCTTCCAATGGAATTGATTCAAATTCGGATCCAATTCTTGAGGTGTTGGAGGAACCAGTCGACGAACCGGTGAGTTTATCAAAATTTATATATTTTGGTGTTAATGCTCTTCCTGCCTTTTTAATAATGAAATCATTTTACGTGGATTATTGACTTTAAATAGACTCTTATCATTAGCTTGAAATATATATCGTCACTCTTTAAGAATTGATCAATTTTATTTACTTATCTATTGTTTGTAAAGTTTCTGTAGCGGTATAGAATACTCATTTTATTATCTTGAGAATGTAATTACATATTCATTAGTCGTACTAAACAGATGAAAATTACATCATTTTAATATGGCATTTAATTGCTTATAATGAAAGTGTATTTATTTATTGAAAGCTTAAGAAGAAAATATTTTTAAAAAATACTCACATTTTTCGATGTAAGACATTTTTTTTTTTTAATTTTTATAAACCGATTATTGGATATTATAATTTTACCTTATTGAAAAAAGTTATATCAAGAAATAATTTTATTAACCTCCCTGAAGTTGGCGTCGACGCTCAGCGTCGAAAATTATTTTTTATGGGACCAAAAATACCAAATCATTTTTAAAAACGTTTTCGGTCCACATAATACCTTGAAAAGTATTTCTCAAGGTATTATTTGGACCGAAAGTATTTTTCAAACAATAATTTGATATTTTTGGGCCTGTAAAAATAATTTTCGGCGCTGAGCGTCGACGCCAACTTCATGGAGGTTTTTATTAGGCAAAAAAAAAATTTCACGAATTCAATTTCTTAGAAATATTATTTTAATAAAAAGTTCTTTTGTTGTGGTGTTAATTTAAAAAGTCGTATGAGGCAATCTTCATAAACTTTTTCCATTTTTCTGAATAATCGTAACTTGAAATAATAATATAATTTTTTTTCAATTGGATGTAATAGCTTTCGAAACTATAAATTATAATATTTTATTGCTTACACCTTATTAATATTACACTTGGATTGATTCAGAATTTCAAATGTTTTCATCTCACAGTTAATACATAAATCTCTGTAGGTATATTATTGAAATTCTTTTCTGATGTTCTTCTTTATCAACAGCTCACTCAGCTTTTCAGCAGTAGTTAAAATCATACTCTGTTGTATCAACTTCGTTTCATTAAAAATTTCTTCAAGTTTCTGCTAGGTGGCATTAGTTATTAACAATTTGAATTAATTGAAATTTTAATCTATTTAGTTTATTTTAATGTTTAAAACAATTCGTTCTTTAGTAAATAATAGGACTAAAACATTAATATATATCTAAAAAATAATTCAATAAAATTTTTGCTGCCTTAACTAAAAATTTATAAAAATTAAATTCGATTAACTTTTAATATAAAACAAAATTTTAGTAGAGCAAAACAAAAAATTTAAAAAAAAAAATTTTTTTTTGAGTTCTTGTAATAGGTAATATTGGTTTTGTATTACAAATATTACAATTACAAATTGTTTTTTTACCTAATATGAGTTTGTTGTTTAATAATTTATTATTGTTTTGAAAATTATTATTACATATTCAAAATGTTAAAAAGTATTTAATTAACTTTGGTTAGAATTTAATTTAATTAAGAAAAAAAAATTAATTTTTTGTAATCATAGAAAGGCGTTCCAATGTAATTAGGAAGTTTTTAGAGCATTATACGCCCTTTTAATTAATTATCTAAATGGTGTGCCACAAATTATTGTCTACATCAGCTTAAAAATTATTTAATAAAAATAGTCACGCACTATAAAAGGACTCGCGTATAATGTATACTATACTGTTTCATTTGTATTGTTCTATAACAAAGGGAATGAAATGACGTTGTAATTTTTCAGAGGCTTCTAATTCTCTCTCTTTCTCTGTCATTTTTTTTACGTGTTCAAGTTGTGCAGCACTTTATCCATCATCGCTATTAAACAAGTTGATTCAATTATCTCTTCAATGGTTCCAATAATGTTTCTAAACTTTTTTAAAAAAAATATCTTTTACAATGCACCTTGTATATATTATATTATTATTATTATTATTAAATATAAATATATTTATAGTTTATTATAATTCAGGAAAATGATAATAATAACTCACAAATTTACATCATTTTCATAAATTGCACTGAAAAAAAAATCTATTTGATTCAAATAATCGGTTACTTGACTATTATCAAATAAATATTAAATAAATATTAAAACATTCTATTTTCATAAATGAATCAGCTTTAGAAAGTAAAGAGTATATTTTTTTTAGTAACAATAGTAATGTGTTTATAAAAAATATTTATATTATTTAGTATTTTTTTGTACATATATAATTATTTTTGTTTTTGCATAAATTACACTTTGCATGCTTTGCAAATTTTTTGTTACTAAAATTTGTATTTATTTAAAGTTTTAAACAAAAGTCTAAATATTTAATTTTTGTTTTTAAATCTGCATTAATTCACATTTCTTCTGAATCACTAAAAAGTTTTCTGAAATTTCTAGAAAATTTGATAAAGTTTCGAAACATTTTCATGAATTTCCAAATTTCTATATGAAATGTTTACAAAGTTCAATATGAAGTTTCTGGAAGGTTTCATAAAGTTTGTACAATAAGAGTATTCAACCCATTCCTAATCATATATTTTAAGAATAGAGTTACCGATAAAATTAACATTGAGGACCTAACAATCACATGCTGTTAACATGAAGTTTTTTGAAATTCAATAAACATTCTAGAGAGTTGCATAAAGTTTCTAGAAGATTTCTTGAATTTTACAGAAATCTTCAGTTTTCCAATTTAAAATGAAAAAAAAAAAAAATATTATATATGCCGAATTTGTTATTGAAGGTATTTGAAAGTATCAATTTATTTATAGAAACATCTTTGATGATTTAATTCGTATATATGGTGATGAATAAGGCTTCATTAGATAAAACGATTAAACAGACTGCTTCGTTGAAAAATGTATGAAAACAAGGTTTAGACCGAGCGATCTGGTGACAGTAGTGCTGTGTTTGATAAAGCTTCCCTGGAACCGCCCCTAACATGTATATAAAGAACACTAACAAATGCCAGGCACGTGTACATTATATACATGTATGAATACAATTGCATGAGAAACTTTAGAAGTCACATAATTCTCTTGGTAATTTAGTGATTTGCCGATCATCGAAGAGTGTGGACTAGGGTTTGTTAAAGGGTGATCGATCTATTTCGGATTAGTGTTTGCGTGAAGGTTCCATTTGAGCGCAATTTACTTTCACTTGTCGTCGTCGGAATGAAGATATTTGGCGAGCTTTTTCACAAAAAGCCTAAACGACGTAATGTCGTTGTTAAAAAAAGGAAACGTACTCATGCAAAAAGAACAGCTCATCATCATTCTAAATTACATGGTGGACCTCATTTACAGCGTGATGATTTTCTATTTGGAAATAATTCAGCATCCAATACTAGGCGACATCGGCGAAAACATAGGGTATAATAGGACTTTCGTCATTTTTAAAAATATTTTTTTCTAAAATTCATTCAAATCATATAAACTGATATATATATAAATTTTATAATATTTTTGAAATTTCTCAAATGTTCATTTTCACCATTGTATCTATGGAATTACAATAATGGTGGAAAGTTTAAGGCTTTTTCAACCATGCGTAGAGGTCAGGACATATTATAATATATTTAAACACAGACTTATTCCTTTCTCTTTTTAGCACGTCGCATAAACATAACTCTCTGCAAAGTGATGTTGGCTTAAATGCCATTACTAGAGTATGAAAAAAATCTATTTCTGAGACTTAGTCTTTAGTTTTTTTTTATTATTACAATTAGAGACTTATTAGCTGTTAATATCATATAGTAAATTATTTTTGATTTTTTGGTCTTTCCATTGCAGATCTACCCTTATCGTATATCTACAATTTTTTGATATACATATATACTGAGAAAAATATGCCATTGAATCAATAGCATTTCTGCCAAAGGAATAAAAATTATTGATTATTATTGATTATTGATTATTATTTTGTTGTTATTATTATATTGATTATTTAATTTAGTTCATTATATTTTTATTTTATTCTCCGTTTTTTCCACTCGTTTCCTTAATATATATATTCTATAAAATAGATATTTCATGAAGTGTATTCATATATGCTATTACGAAGAACAATCGCATTTACATATTTATAAATACTATACGACATCGCGAAGTAATCTCATACTTTAAATTTTATACCCTCATGTACTGATTAATATCTCTATTAATTACCAGTTTTAAATAATATACCTACATGAAGCTAATAAATTAATTTAGCCTCAAGTGGTTCTATATGATCATTATTGTTAGCAGGGATTGTCCATATAATAAATGAACAAAATTCTTGAAATATATTTAGCATAATTGTCTACGTGGTCAAAATTTTACTTGAAGAGAGAGTCGGAGAAAGCTACTTTTACTATTATATTTACAATCGTCTTTAAAAAAAAAAAAATTATCAACACTAAAATTTTATCTTATTTTTAATTTAAATTATTCAAAACATTAATTGTCAAGAAAAATGATATAGTAGCTCAAAAAATTTACTTAAGTCTAAATTTTTTTAAGTAAATTTGATTATTAAGGGGGCACAGGCATAGTCAGCGACGCGAAAATAAACGGTTTATTTCGATTTCTTTGTAAGAAAATGAATGAAATTTTTTCATTTTAACTTTTTGCATCATATATTAATCTATATTCGAAGAACATTTCGTAATTTTTTTTTGTTAAAAAATAATAAAAATTGTAAGCGATATAACGAATTTAGTGTGGTTCTTGAAAAAAAAGTTTCTTTATGGTGGACACGATAAGTCCCGACAGAATCATCTGAAATCAAAAAACCAAAAACATTTCGTTAGTAAATGAGTTTGTTTAGTACTTGAGCGAGGCATATTACAATCTAGAACATAACCTATAAATTGTCTTTTCTGTGAAACCCTAAAAATAACAAGAAGTTAAACCACAACTAGTTAAAAAATGTGTAATCGATTTAAGACCTAAAATTTTTCTCAAAAATGGTGAATAATTTTATTAT